TCGGTCCCAATACTGAACCCTGGGGGACGATGTCTTCAGAATTACAGAACTGTACAAGAGACTTGTCCTCCTGGTTTTTTTTGGTGATCTGGTTGATGGAATACAGGAGTGTCTTAGGAGTGTTCAGAACAAGGTCTTAGGAGTATTCAGAACAAGGACTGAGATAAGATTTCAAAAGTGGAAGAGGGAGCTGTGTTTGTCTTTTGTAAGACTGATCTGATACTTGCATGTTCCAAAGCAATATGGTGTCTGCAGCCTAAACATTTCTTCATTCCCTTTTAAGACGAGAGATTAAATAAAAATATTCAGCTTGTTCACTGCTACTTATAAATACCTTCTGAGCAATATTTTAACACATGAAAATGCGTTATTCTTTGGAGGTAGTGAGGGGATCTTGTCCAGCAGAAAAGTCTTTGGACCTTTTTAAGCTAGAAGTTTAAGTTTCAAATTTCTAAGTGTAAAAAACGTGATCCTGATTCTGCAGTGCTTTAGATTTTTCATAATTCCTGATTTTGTGATATGAATTTTGTTTTGTCTCTTATCCAAGTTCTTTCACTAGTAAGAAGTTTTAAGCTCCTCTCTAGTCACTTCTAGTATTTCTTTGCCAAGTCATATGGAACAACTGTGAGCTCGCACCATATTCTCTTTGAGACAGTCACGCTAGCAAAACTTTCTGTTTTGGAGCCTGTGCTAAATGATAAACGGTTACCTGTTAGAAAAATGTTCTGGTCTTTGATCAGTATTTCGGCTAACTGTTTGAAAGACTTATCTGGTTGCTGTTTTTGAAAACTGATATAGGACTTAATGCAAAATATATTTTGCTAATGCTGCTTTCTTGACTTTAGAGTCACAATGGCTTCAGCGTTCCGCATCTCTCTGAAACCAAAGGTCAGTGATAGTATGACTCATATGATGGTGGACTTCGCTTTGGAAAGGCACATGCTCAAGGCTGTAAAGTTTTTGCCAGGTAAAAACTGTATGCAGTGAGTTCAGGTTTTTACTACATTAATAAGTTACTGCATTAAAAAAAAACCCACCAAACAAAACAAAACCGCACCTCTTGCACCTTCATGAGCCAATTTTTCAGAGTACCTAAACTCTTTCTTATTCATTGAATGTTAAGCTGAATACCTTGAGGGTAAAAGAGCTCTCTGATCTTATTGTGTTAATTTCTACATAATATAGCATTTCAGAAAATAATGTTGATCTTGGAAGCAAGAATGAGTCTTCCAGACTGTGTTTTTTCTTGAGTTGTCAGTTCCTTTATACTTCCTGAAGTTATCTTAAGTTTCTCAAGACTGTACATGCTAGCTTGATGCTTAGTGACACTCTGAAATGACTACTAGTCCTCTGTAGTACTGTTATGCATGGAATTGTAAGCTAATATATTGTTTAGAAGAATGGTGACGTGGTCTGAAATGCAAGAGAGGGGTAATCTACTAGGACAGTGGTGTTGCCATAAAACAAAATGTGTATTGATGCATCTATCTGTTACTGTTTATAAGTGAATTTAGGTGTAGTATTCCAATATGTCTCTTTCATGTCTTTTTATTCATATTGCTTTCTGATTTAAACCACTTTGCCCTTGACTGATACCAAAAATATATTGACAAGAATACTGCTGGCAGGGATGTAAATTGTTTCATCTCTAGGTCACTAGTCCAAATCTGTTAGGACTTGGCAGCATCAATTTACATATCTGCCCATTTATCTTGTATGCTGCAGATACAGTATGTAGTAGCTGGTGTAGAAAATTACCGGTGTTATTCCTAGAGGTCAGCTAGCAGTGTTGAGGCAGAAATTCACATTTTAGTCTTAGACTTTGGGTGGCAGTCATTGCTCTGTATTTTTTAGATAAGGGAACAAGCTAGATAAGCTGATCCCAGTGCACCTGTTTAACAGGAATGGGAGTGTTAGATCTAACAGCAAGCATGAACAAAGTCTTGTATCGAGATTAAGATACTATTTAGTATGACCCTTTTTATACGTGCATTTTCCTTACAAATATGTAGGAATTTAAGTTGCTTGGGCCTTTGATTTGAAAACAGGAAAATTAACTATCTGGGTATCAATCTTGTTTTCTCCTACTGTAGTGCCAAGATACCAAATTACTCTGACACCAAGTAGCTCAAACTGTTGCAGGCAAAATTGCACTGAGCACTGATAGAACTTCATACGTCAGGAGATACTAATGCCCTAATGTGGGAAGCTGAAAACAGGTTTGGTGTTGTAATGCGTTCATTTACCCCTTCTTGCTAGATTCATGCTGAAGACTTGATCACTCCAAACACATTGAAGACTCTTTTGTTTGGTAGCTTATACCATGACAAAAATAATACGGACAGATAGCTAAACTTAAAGGTACTTGTCCTCATCTTTTGTCTAAGAAGAGATTTACAGGCATGTGTTCTGAAATACTTGTCCTCATCTTAATTTTTCTTTTGCCTAAGAAAAGATCTTACTGATATTATACTCAAATTATTGTTGATGACTTTGAAATTTCATGGCAAACATTTGTGATTAACATTTGAGAATTTGATGTTGTTTAACCCCAGCAGGCAATGAGCATTGCACAGCCAGTTGCTCACTCCCTGTGCTGCAGTGGAATGGGGAAGAAAATCAGAAGGGTAAAAGTGAGAAAACTTGTAGGTTGAGACAAAGACAGTTTAATAGGTAAAGCAAAAGCTGCACACTTAAGTGGATTCATTCATTGCTTTCCATTGGCAGGCAGATGTTTAGCCACCTCCAGGAAAGCAGGGCTCCATCGTGCATAATGGTTACGTGGGACGATAAACGCCATAACTCTGAAGATGCCTGCCTCCTTTCTTCTTCCCCCACCTTTTATTACTGAGCACAGTGCCATATGGTATGGAATATCCCTTTAGTCAGCTGGGATCAGCTGTCCCAGCTGTGTCCCCTCCCAGCTTCTTGAGCACCCCCAGCCTACTCGCTGATGGGGTGGTGTGAGAAGCAGAAAATGCCTTGATGCTGCTCAACAATAACTAAAATCCGTGTTCCCAAAATTATCTTCATCACAAATCCAAAGCATAGCACCATATAAACCTCTTTGAAGAAATGTAACTCTATCTCAGTCAAAACCAGCACAGACTTGAATGGGTTTTTTTTACATCTGTCCTGTGCAGCTTATTTGTTCTCAAGCGTTTTAAACCTGTACCATCAGTTTCAATTTTTTTTGGGCTTCAACTGCAGGGATGTGAGGGGAGGAAGGGTGTATTTTGGTAGTGCTAGGTTAAATATTTGAACAGATCATGGAGGGAAGGTGTGGAGTAGTGTGCATAAAGCAAACTAGGCCTTGTGCTTCTAGCAGACCTGCTGTAGCTAGGAGGTGTTTGTATCTATGTATCTAGATGGTAAAATTACACATCTCTAAATGACTCAGTCATAATTAATGTAATGCTGATTGTCATTAGTCACTGTAGATGGGAATCATGGGTAACAATCTGTTCAAGAAATAGTTACTTTGTCTTCATAAAGGCAACCTGTATGAAAGTAGGACTTGGTCACTGGGACATAACTATACACAGCAACACCATTAAGGGTTTGAGTGTTATGAAAAGGGATTATTTTTTACAAAATCTCCAGGTCTATCAGTCCCACAGATACATCAGTATTATACTATTTTGATGTTTCTGCTAGATAAATAGACTTGCAAGCCACTTTTGTATCTATTTCAAGCTCTTGTGAATGCTGAAACAAAGGTGAAGCTTTTGCAGATCCTTCCTGCAAAAACTGCAAACAATAAAACATCTTCTTCACTTCTGCTAGCAAAGGTCTTCCTTGAATGTACTCTGGACACTACGAAAAGTATGTAAATGCCTTCTTCCAAAAAACATTTTCCAGTGACTTAAGTACTCTTTGATTTAATGAAAGTAGACTTCTGTTGTCTGTAAACAAAACTTCAGTCTTTTCTTTGGTGAATCTTAGGAATTTCCCCTTCTTTCAAGACAGAGGATGAAAAGAAAAGATGAGGTAACTGCCAACTGGCTAGTGGAAACTATTACACTGTTAGTTGTCTGTAGTGGTGGAAGTAAACTTAAGTGATGCTGTTTGAGGGCTGCAGCTTCCAAAGACTCGGAAGTACAAAATTTGCTTCTTAATGTGTAGTGTTATTCTAAATATGGGTTCCTAATTGTAAATCCACTCTGCTCTAGCATGCCCTTCTTACTGCTTCCAAAAGGGGATCAGCCCAATTTACTGACAAAAAAAAAAAAGCCATCTGGAAAATGTGACACAAATGTTCACTCTGGAGATAATGTGTATTTCTTGTTTTGTAAAATGCATCTTAAGTGAAAGTGTTATGCCTAGTCCTCTGTTGTGCTTTGCTAATGGAATAGATCCTCTAAAAGGAATAGGCCAAGGACAACTTCTGAACTGTTCAAATCCAAGGAGAACAGGTTAATATTCAATCCATTATCTTCTTTAACTGATCTATATATTTATCTTTCTGCAGTCCCTAAAGCTCCAGAGATAGACCTAGCAGCATGTCTGGTTGCTGATAACTGCATAACAGTATCATGGCAAATGCCTGAAGAAGACAGCAGAATTGATCATTTTGTACTGGAGTACAGGAAAACCAACTTTGATGGGCTTCCTCGAGTAAAAGATGAACAGCGGTGGGAACTGATAGACTATATTAAAGCTACTGAATATACGTTATCAGGTAAAGGTTTTTTATACTTCAGAACCAAGAACATTGATAAAACTGTTTATGCTTGGAAATTTGGCAAAATACCCATTTTTCTGTATGTAATGAAGCTTCTGTTGTTTCACATTAGTTTTGGGTGCTTTGTACAATAATGCTTCTGTCTTCTATTTTGACTTTGAGGTTTTGTGAAAAATTATACGTTAAATGAAGCTCATCACTGATATATAAGCTTGTTTTTTGTAGACTGAGATAGATGGAAGACAGCTACATGGAATAGATCTTAGTCTTGTAAAAATAATCAATAACTAATCTTAACTCAAGTTTCTAAACATTAATTTTTTTAGGTCTCAAATTTGATACAAAATACATGAGCTTTAGAGTACAAGCTTGCAACAAAGCTGTGGCAGGGGAATACTCTGATCCTGTGACTCTGGAAACCAAAGGTAAAATTTGGTTACTACCTTAGATGTAATGAAAACCCTGTACTTACTCTTCTGCCTTCATATAGGAACTTGTATGTTCAGTCTGCATCTACATGAGCACTGCTGAAATACACGTTGTAAGTGAAAAGAAAAACAACTGTTTCTGTAGAGGATTAAGAAGCTTATTGGCACAAAGCTGGCCTTTTAGCACTCAGATGCTAAAAGTGAGGTAGTAATGTAACTTTCTCCAACAGAGCTTGACACCAGTTGTTTTGAACTGTGGAATGACAGTATTACATGCCGCTACATCATGCCAACACATAGCAAGAGAAGGTGAACATTGTGGCATTAGTAGGACTCCTAGGGCATCTAAACAGTGCATGTTTATTGGCACTTAGCACGTGACAGGTAATAGCTTTCTGTAAATAGAAAGTGCTGAAAAGTTGTTTTTTTTATTTTGTAGTTGTAGATTCTAATCACTGTCAATATTCAAAAAATAGGCAGCTCGAAATTGCTAAAGTTAAGTCATTGTGTTAGAAATTGGTTGGTCTGAGGATGGTTTCCTACTGTCGTTTTATAAACAAACTAGAAAATTTCTTGGACATGACGTTTTGTGACAGAACACAAATCTTAACTATTATGGTGGAAATAATGATCCTGAGGCTTTAATTGTGGCCAGGTGTGTATTGTTAAAGGCAAAATGACTGATGCAAACTGGATAATTAAAATATAAATCGTTACTTGTGAATGTGACTTCATAAAAACAAAGCTATAGGCAATTTGAATGAGCTGATGTTAATTCTAGTAACATCTAAAATGCTTTTAATATTCTTAAGTAACAGTCATTGTCAGATATGTAGTATCTATTTAATAGCTACTTACATTCCTTACTCCAGTGCCAGAAAGATAATTCTGATTTTGATTGTTTGGGTAGTGTTATCTGTGTGAACATTTTGTTCATTTTCTTTACTCGGCCACGGAAACTCAGTATCCCTGTCCATGTGCTTACCTTATTCCTTTTTAGACTCGTGTACTGTTGAGCTCTAAATTCTTAACATCTCCAGTATACTTTCTTTCAGAATCGAACTATAGTATCTGATGGTATTAGGACACTTCAGAATAGTCTGCAAGTAAACATCTTTCGGGGACTTGTCATGTTGTATTAGTTTGTTTTCTTGCATGAAGGACTTGTCTGCAGCAAATACCACCTCAAAGAATCATACAACCACAGAATGGTTTGGGTTTGAAGGGACGCCTGGCCTTGAACACCTCCAGGGATGGGGCATTCACAACTTCCCTGGGCAACCTGTTCCAGTGTCTCACCACCATCACAGTAAAAAATTTCTTCCTAATGTCTAGTCTAAATATGTCCTCATCCACTTTAAATCCATAACCCCTTGTCCTGTTGCTACATGCCCTTGTAAGAAGTCCCTCCCCAGCTTTCCTGTAGGCCCCCTTCAGGTATTGGAAGGCTGCAATAAGGTGTCCCTGGAGCCTTCTTTTCTCCAGGCTGAACAACCTCAACTCTCTCAGCCTGTCCTCATAGGGGAGGTGCTCAAGCCCTCTGATCGTGTTTGTGGCATTCCACTGGACTTGCTCCAACAGCTTGACGTACTTCTTGTGTTGGGGGCACCAGAGCTGGATGCAGTACTACAGGTGGGGGCTCATCGGAGCAGAGTAGAGGGGCAGAATCACCTCCTTTGACCGGCTGGCCATGCTTCTCTTGATGCAGCCCAGGATCCGGTTGGCCATCTGGGCTGCGAGTGCACACTGCTGGCTCATTTTGTTTTAAATCTACCGACACCCCCAAATCCTTCTCAGCGCTGTTCACAATAAGTTCTCTGCCCAGCCTGTATTTGTGCTTGAGATTGCCTTGACCTATGTGCAGGACCTTGCACCTGCACTTGTTGAACTTCATGAGGTTGGCATGGGCCCACCTCTCAAGCCTGTCCAGGTCTCTGGATGGCATCCCTTCCCTCCAGCACCATACAGCTTGGTGTCATCGGCAAACTTGCTGAGGGTGCACTCCGTCCTACTGTCCATGTCTCCCACAAAGATGTTAAATAGCATCGGTCCCAGTACTGATCCCTGAGGAATGCCACTCATCACCAGTCTCCATTCAGATACTGAGCCGTTGACCACAACTCTCTGATTGCGACCATCCAGCCAAGTCCTTATCCAGTGGGTGGTCCATCCAGCAAATCCATATTTTTCCAATTTGGACACCAGGATGTCGTGTGGAACATTGTCGAACGCTTTGCAGGAGTCCAGGTAGATGACATCAGTTGCTCTTCCTTTGTCCATTGATGCCATAACTCCATCAGAAAAGGCCACCACGTCTGTCACAGTTTGCCCTTGGTGAAGCCATGCTGGTTACCAGTCACCTCTCCTTCATTTTCCATGTGCCTTAGTAGAGCCTTCAGGAGGATTTGCTCCATGATCTTGCCAGGCACAGAGGTGAGACTGACTGGTCTGTAGTTCCCTGGGTCTTCTTTTTTACCCTTCTTGAAAAAGGGGGTCATGTTTCCCCTTTTGCAGTCAGTGGGAACTTCACCACACTGCCATGACCTTTCAAATAAGACTAAGTTAATGGCTTGGCAACTTCCCCTGCCGGTTCCCTCGGGACCTGTGGATGAATCTCGTCACATCACATGGACTTGTGCATCTTCTGGTTCTTCAGAAGGTCTTGAATCTGATCTGCAGTTACGGTGGGCGGATCTTCCTTCTCACAGTTCTTACCTTCACTTTCTGCAACTTCAGTGGTGCAGCCAGAGCCCTTGCTGGTGAAGACCGAGACAAAGAAGTCATTGAGCACCTCAGCCTTCTCTTTATCCCTTGTGGCCAGGTCTCCAGTTTCCTTCCAGAGAGGACCCACACCTTTCCTAGTCTACCTTTTATCACCAATGTAGTTGTAGAAATTCTTCTTGTTCCCGTTTATGTCCCTGGCTAGATTTACCTCTGTCTGGGCTTTAGCTTTTCTAATCTGATCCCTGACTGCTTGGACAGCCTCTTTGTATACCTCCCAGCTAACCCATTGTTGCTTCCACTCCCTATATATTTTCTTTTTGTGCCTGAGTAAGTCCAGGATCTCCTTTTTCATCCACGGAGGCCTCCTGGCATTCTTACCCACCTTCCTCTTTCTTGGGATGCTCTACTCCTGTGCTTGGAGGAAATGGCCCTTGAATTCTGACCAGCTTTCTTGGGCCCCTCTTCCCCCCAGGGCTGTGTCCCGTGACACTCTGACAAGTAGGTCCCTGAGGAGATCAGAGTCCATTCTCTTGAAGTCCAGGGTAGTGGCCTTGCTGTGCACCCTCTTTGACTCCCTAAGGATCTTGAAGTCAACCAATTAATGGTCACTGCAGCCAAGGCTGCCCTTGAGCTTCGCATTACTCACCAGCTCCTCCTTGTTGGTAAGGACAAGGTCTAGTATAGCACCTTTTCTCGTCGGTTCTTGTACCACTTGGAAGAGGAAGTTGTCATCAGTGCATTCCAGGAACCTCTTCAATTGCTGGTGCCCTGCTGTGTTGTCCTGCCAACAGATACCATGGTGGTTGAAGTACCCCATGAGGCCCATAGCTTGTGAACGTGAAGCTGTTTCTATCTGTCTGTAGAGGGCCAATCATTCACGATTGGAAGAATCTAGGGAGTAGGCTGTAACTAGCAGAAAGTATTAGCTGTATTTAATTATTGATACAATTTTACTACTGCTTCTATAATTTTCTGTGAATAGTCACTCTTGGGAGAGAGCATTATGCCATTTCACTGTTTTGCATTTTGTCTTGACCAGCATTTGTGTTCAGTTTGGACAGTACTTCATCTCACCTGAACTTGAAAGTTGAAGATACATATGTTGAATGGGATCCTACTGGAGGCAAAGGCCAAGAAAAAATAAAAGGCAAGGAAAATAAAAGCAGGTAAGAACTCTGTTTTGTAAATGTTTACATTCTCTCGTATGTCTCATCTGGCAGTTAAGGGAAGAGGGCAGAAGCAAATTAAAGCACTTGAGGACACTAGGACACCAAAGGAATTTTCACTCAGAAATCTTTCATTGGAAGAAATTTTGAATTTTTTTCTCTTCCACTGACATACAGATGTGGAGGCTATCTATGGAAGCTATTAGAAATGTGTCTTAATCATTAAATAGAATTTAAGTCTTTTAAAAATACATTTGTTAGAGTATCATTCAAGGTACGAAAATAGCTTATAGATGTGGTGGGTTTACGTTGGCTAGCCAGCAGGTGCCCACCAAACTGGTCTATTGCTTCCCCTCCTCAACTGGACAGTGGGAGAGGAAATAAAACAAAAGGCTTGTGGGTCAAGATAAGGACAGGGTGATCACTGTGCAATTACTGTCACAGGCAAAACAGACTCGACTTAGGGAAATTTGAATTATTTTATTGCCAATCAAAAGTCAGAAGAGGATAATAAGAAATAAGGACAAATCTTAAAATACCTTCTCCCCACCCCTCCCTTCTTCCCAGGTTTCACTTCACTCCCAACTTCTCTACCTCTTGCCTGTGCAGTAGCAGAGGGGGGGATAGGGAATAGGGGTTGTGATGAGTTCATCATGCATTGTCTCTGTTGCCCCTTCCTCCTCACACTCTTCCCCTGCTCCAACGTGGGGTCCCACCCGGAGGAGACGGTCCTTCACAAACTGCTCCAGCATGGATCCTTACCATGAATATCCTGATATCTGACTGCAATTTCCTGTGATGCAATGAGTAGCGGGTGCCTCTCAGCTGTCAGTGTGCACCTCTCTGAGAAAAGCCTGGCTTGATCTTTTCAATACCTTCCTGTTATGTCCTTAATACAAGAGCAATTGGCTCTTGTCTTCCTGAGGCTGTGTAAAACCAATTGTCTTTGTGTGCTCCAGTCCCTTAATTGGGTTGTTGGCCCTCCCCTGGACTTGCTTTAGCATGTCACTGTGTAGTCCTGAGGAGCCCAGACCTGGACACAGGACTTCAGGCTCAGTCTGACAAGTGCCAAATCAAGAGGAATAGTCACTTGCCTTCGCTTCCTGGTTGGCCACCTCTGCCACATGGGCACAGTAAGGTGTGTTGTATGCTGTTGCTATCCACTTGTTGTCATGTCCTATTGCCCTCCAAGACTCCCAGCTGCTTTTCTGCAGAATTACTCTGCCCTCAGTTGTCCCCCAGCCTGTCCTATTGTGTGGGGTTCTGTCATCTGGAGAACACTAGCTGTAGCTCTGAGCCTGGTGTTCAGCTGGTTCTATAAATAGTTTATGGCCTGCTACCCAGTCTAGATCTCACCTCTTGAGGTTTGGGGATACTGTGTGGGAATGTGTCAAAAGCCTTGCTAAAGCCATGATGTGAACAGTGTCCATTGTTCTTGCCTTGTCCACAGGGCTGGTTACTTCAAAGACAATTAATTGACTCAACATGTGCTTTTCAATATAAAGAGCACTGCTTGAGATAATATATAAACAAATCACTTCCCTATGGGCATATACTGCTAGAAGCATCGTAGAATAAGTGTTAGTGGCATCTTAAAAATGGGAATTTACTGTAGAAATAATGGAACAGTTTAATGACTACTTATTTCTGTCAACAGTGTCCAGAATCCTCTGCTGAAGAGCAATAGAAGGTGATAATATACCTCTTTTTCCTAGGAGTCTAGCACCTAGTTTTGCTGGGAGTCTGTTTTACTTTTCTTTGCTTGATGTAGTAAGAAATAAATCTAATAGCCTTTATCAGTAACAGTAGATACACGCTTTTAAAAATTATTTAGAGTTTAATATGGATTAATAGAGATTATATATATGTTTTACAGTGACTGGAAAACAGTCTTCCTGGAAAAATGTGTCCTGTGTTGATACAAAGTTCCCTGTTATTTACAGATACATTGATGCTTGCTTAATCTTCTGGCATATGATGACACACTAATTTTTTTACAAATGCAGTAAAGAGTTATTTTCTGAGAACTTTACTTTTTTTTTTGTTCTTATTTTTTAATCTGGAAACCTTTTTGCCTTTGAACTGGTGCTATAGCTGTTACTAGACATCAGAGGAAAGGAAATAAGTGTTTTTACACTTTGAAAGAGGATAAAGTTTAGCCTTGTGGTGTATGTAAAAAAAGTTTCATGGCAATTGTTCAAATGAGAGCACCTCTTTTTTTGGTTTGTAGAAGTGCTAAAATATTCTCCTATTCCTTGTGCAATTGTGTTTTTAAGTGTAAGTTTTTTTCATTATTTTTCTAATAAAACTCCTGTTCGGGAAATTACTTCTTCTGTTTTTGCTCTCATGCTTTTTTTTTTTTTTTTTTTACTGGTATAGAAGTTGTGGGAACAAAACAAATGCCCAAGTTCCTAGTTTCTTGTAGGTTTTATTCCTCTATTCATCCATCAGGTGGATCTAACTTTGGCTTGAGATAAACAATAGAGAAAAGTTTGTGTAGGTGAAATAAGCTCTTGACACTGTGCAGTGTCGATAGGTCTACCACGCAAGCATATCAATTTCTGCTAAACTAAGTTTCAAAACTGTCTTGGAGATATCACTACTTGCTCAACAGACTCTGGAAGTCTTATAACTTGGTCTCTCTTTATAGTTGTCATTAAAAAACTTCCCTGGTTCTGGCCTTTGCTTTGGTAGAAGGACATGGTCACGTATTCAGCCTCGCATCTCAGACAAAAGCCTTTCCTAGCAGGAGATGCAGATGAGCTTTGATTCTTGCAGGAGGCTTTTGTTCCCTGTTAAAAATATCTGCGATGTTGTCTGCATTAGAGGGAAAATTTGAAGCTAGCTCCGTAGTTAGTGGAAAAGTTACAGTATAATTGTTTTAAACATTTTCAAGGACTGGAAACACACAATGTCAATAAAATGCTTAATGATCTGTAATATATTTATTAGGCTAGAATAAAGCCTCTGGATAACTTCTGCTGTCCCTCCATGGGTAACTTCTGATATGGCTCCTTGGCCTTTCTTCTCAAAAATAGAACACACATTGCTTGGAATATGTTTTATTTGCTGAAATGGATAAGAAAAGTGAGACTATTTGCAGTGCTGTAGGCAACAATCCTAACCATAAGACAAGAATATCTGGTCACTGAATAGTGGAAGAAATGCGTCAGTTACTATATTAGACAACGAAGATGGTGCTGTATTGGAAAATTGGCACCAAATTGACTTTCTGGTGTAAAATTTCCTTCCTTTACTATTGGAAGGGAGACTTAAGCACTGGGGCGGGGGCACCCAACTGTTTTTTTTTTAGGCTGTTGTGCCAAATCTTTAATGTCATTGTCTGAACTGTTAAAGGCTGTTAGATTTTGAGTGGACAAAGCACATGCAGCGGCCATTTACAGAAGACTTGAATAAAATAAATGATATGGAGGACCTTTTAATGTCTTCCTAACTCTGATAAAATACTACCAAAGCACCTGCATTTTTGTTTTGGTGATTCTCTAAATGGTCACATTGCTTTCTGCATAACTCGTTTATACTGAATGTAATAGAAAAATCGCAGCAGCTTTTGTTGGAAGTGTGAATGAATGATCTCTGATGCACTTGAAGGAGGATGGAATCTGCAAAGAGTGATGGTTTCCCCTGTAATTATGCTTTAATTCTTGGCTTTGCCTTTTTTTTTTTTTAATGCTATCACTTGTTGCCTTTTTCTTTGGTAAGTAAACTACAGGTTCCTCAATGCTAAAAAAATTAAAAAGAATCTGATGTGGTGCATCTGCACAATATACACTTACCCCCCTCATGTAGCTCTTGCAATCTATTTAGAAGCTTAGCTGTCTTCTGATCACTACTGGCAAATTTGTGTGCTAAATGGTGATGCTAAAGTAGATGTTTTTGTCAGTGATTTCTTGTAGACTTATGTAACTGGAATAAAACAAACTTGGTCATGATGATGAACTAGAGATTCTAGCATACTTCTGTATGACAGCTTAATAGCACTCAGCTTTTGATTCCCATGTGACCTTGTTTTAATGAAGGTATTAGGCAAAAATGATGTTTTCTAACCCTTTATGAAATTGTATTTGAGAACAATTCCAGAAAACTTGAAATCAGTGTTGAATGAATCAAGCTAAAGGAAAGGAAACAAGCTAAACTTCACTACATTAGTGGATATTTAATTAGCAATTAGCTTTACCAAATTGTAGCTGAAGGAAAAGTTGGAGAGAAGTTTATTTTGTGTGTGGTCTCTCTCCTAAGGCTAATGTATGATAGACTACAGAGGATGAGGATTTGAAAATGGTGTCTCGTGTATTTCAGAGTATTATTTTGGACTTGTTAAAATTTTGTCAAATTAAACTGTAAACTGCACAGCTATTTCTGAGAAGTTAAAATTATTTGCTACTGATTGCCTTTAAAAAATAACCAGGTCTGATTCCTTGGCTACTGAGGTTTAATTTTCACTGCAATTTGCAAATAGCCTTAATTTTGTTCAATGGTTAAATTGCTAGGAATTTGTTTTGAGGGCATAGCTGAGGTAAATAAAATGTTTGAAAACCTCATTAGGTTAAAATCAGTCTTTTATGCAACTGATTGCTCATTAGAATATTATCCAGAGCAAAGTATCATAATTTATTTTCCTGTTGCTTCCTGAGAATGCTTTTGGAAAGTGTGATTAGAAAATCTAAGCCTTTCTTTATTGGGATTAGACTCTTAAATTTTATAATGTCTCTTGAGGATTTGCTATGTGCTTCTCAGCATAATCTGTTGTGACAGAATTTTCTTTTCTGTAGTGTTTGATAGGGTTAATATAATTAAATACCCTTCAATATACTTTTTTGGTGTTTTGATTTTTTTTGAGGATTGTTGTAATGCATTAAATTCTGGAAATCTCACTTCATCTTTTAATATAAATTCTGTTTAGATTTGACACTCTTGGGTTTGCTATCATCTTCAATGTGTGTAGTTTGAAATAAAATTACCACAGTTTTATTCCTGTCATTCTTCATTGGGTTACACTTTTTCCTGGGATTTCAGTCATTGCTTATTCAAGCTATTACACATGCTGAAAATCCTACCTTTAACATATCTGATGTTATTTTCCCATTCATTGTTTTTTAAATTCCAGTGAAAATAAGGCATTTTGGCATTGAATATCAGCAGTGTATTCATACTTATCTGATTGTTGTAGCTGCTCTACAAGACTTATTAGAAATCTTATGTGGGAAACCAAAAAAATGAATTCTCTAAGGTTCTGCACAGTACAGGCGAAACACTGTTTTGTGTAGGTGTTCATTCAAACCACGTGGCACACATTTGCTCTCTTCCTCCTTTTTCCGTTCTCAGCTGCCTCTGAACTTGTTTCTTACACTGTCTTGTATTGTTTTCTGGCTGTCATCTCTTTCAGTTCTTGTGCATGCATACTGTTAGAGGTGTTAAGTGGCTGAACTAATGTGTCATTTCAATAGCTTATGTGTATTTGTTGCACCCTAATTGACTCGAAAACTTGTTTGAGTGTGCATTTCTGTAATTTAGTCCGAATCTTGAATGGTTTATTTCTTCTTAGAAGCGGTGCACCATCTCCAAAGAGGACATCCATGAGCACAAGATCCTCAGTGAGGAGCAGCAGAGATCATTTTACTGGTGAATCATACACAGTGTTGGGTAAGGTGAACTTTTACTTCTGATAGAGGTGTAGTGCTGTGAGAAGGCAGAATTTGAGGGAAAATTTGTGATTGTTCAAGGCCATGTACTTGATGCTGTGCTGCACAGAAGTTGTTTTGCCTATATAACACCATAATTTCATGCTACACCAAGCGTCTTCAAGTCTTTTGAAGCTCTTTATTGCAAAGCTCTTAGTGACTGACATACCCTGCTATTAAATGTGAATTGATATTAAATGTATCTTGTCTAAGTGACTGTAAGTAAAAACTGTCTCATTCTGTTTTATATTTATATTCTAATTTCTTTTACATTAATTGTTTGATTCTTATAGTTCATATTTTTATATTTCTAAGCCTTCACCTTAAAATAAAACTGAGAAGATGTCACTGGTGCCTATAAGGAAGCAAGCATTGTAAAGTACACTTAATTATAGCCACTAAATTTGTTTTTGTTTTGGTTTTGTTTTGCAGGAGACACTGCTATTGAAAGTGGACAGCATTACTGGGAGGTGAGAGCCCAGAAGGACTGCAAATCCTACAGCGTGGGAGTAACATATAGAAACCTGGGGAAATTTGACCAGCTCGGAAAGACCAATTCAAGCTGGTGCATCCATGTCAACAACTGGCTGCAAACCACATTTTCAGCAAAACATAATAATAAAACCAAGACTCTAGATATACCTGTTCCAGACAGAATAGGAGTGTACTGTGACTTTGATGGAGGTAAATATACAATTTAATGAGATTTGGCTAAAAAATTTAGTTAGAGCTCTGTGTCAAGCTGAAGCAGTACAAGGCTAAAGCAGTACATTACTTCCAGATTTATGGAGTCTCTTATGAAAATAAGGCGCAGAGCTGTTTGTGTAGTACTTCTTGTAATGTCAAATGACCTCGGTTCATCTATATGACAGAGCTACTAACTGAGAATTTTTCAGTCATGTGGACTGCATTTAGTGTGTTCTGGATACCTTTCCCTAGAAAAAAATAAATTTTACAAAAAGTTACACTTTTTTTTTTTACTACATTTAAACATATATTTCAACTTGTTTTCTTCCTCTTTTAGGTCAGCTCACATTTTATAATGCAAACTCAAAGGAGCAGTTATACACCTTCAGAACAAAGTTTACCCAACCATTACTGCCAGGCTTCATGGTCAGTGTCTATAGAATTTTGTTCAGTTTCTAGCATTAAATTCAGTTTACTGAAGACTTAGTTGTTTTTTAAAGGAGGAATCTTGGAGCACTGTTTTTGACTGACTAATAATTTAAAAAAATGTTTAACTGTTTTCTTTTTTGTTTCACATGGCACTTATAATAGCATTCCAACAGGAGAACTGTGCACCTGGATGTCTCAGCTATGTAAACAGAAGTAGTTACATTTTTGTAGGGTAAATTAGTAGAACATTCCAGTAGCTTATGAACCTGCTACAGTAATTGACCCAAACTGATGCAGATAGGAACCCAAGATGTTTCAAGCTGTCAGAGCAGGTGTCATGAGACAAAACAGCACCAGATGCTTCCCTCTGAGATACAAGTTTCTAGGCTTTCAAATCTTTAAAAGCTCAGTGAGATTTTCGTGCCAGTCTTTTCACTAGTCTACATAACTCTTTCCTGGTTCTGAGCTAATCAGTGAAAACTTACTGCAATTCTAAAGACTTCAAACCTTGCAAAAAATGCACAAGAAAAGGTTTAGTTACTGCATATTTGTTTTCCTTTAAGGATTTAAGTAATTTGTTTAAGTAAGTTTGGAGGCCTCAGCTGCATTATAAGGTGCCATCAAATGCATCACACTTTGAGAGCAGAGTATATAGGTCTGGGAAAGTTAGGAATCAGGAGGAGGCTAGCATGCTAGTTCATACTAACAACTCAGCTGGCTAGGCACTGATCTCTAGCTCTTGTAATTCAGAGCATAGGAAACACAGCATGGTAAGTGTGGTTAGGCCAATTAATAAAATTATTCTTCTTTTGGACAGGGAGGAAGAATGGAAAAGTAGTAACTTGCTCAGGCAGCCTTACATCTAGCATTTCCAAACAGCTGATTTTCACTTGTGTCAGACAGAATTCCTTTCACAATTTCTACTGTTGACTATATGTACAGACAAAAGGAGTCTAGATTTTCAATAGCTATTTGTTTGGAGGTGACTAAGCAAGTTGCTTTGCTGATCCTTTTCAACATACAGGAACACAATAGCTTCAGAACCGTTGGGATACACGTAAGCCCCTCTAACTCTTGAATGTATGCATTGCTAAGGCTGACTCATTAAGCCAGTTCCAAAGGCACCCAGGGAAACTTTTTTTACCACACTGCAGCCTATTAGTCTGCATCTCATACAGCCCCTAGTACTTAATGATGGCAGTCTTATAAATGCTACTTGTGTTAGCCTGAACAGTTAAAATAAAAATGACAAGCTACTTAAATACAGATTTCAAATTTAATCATAAACATGGATATACATTCTTTCATGTAACTCATTTGTAGAATAGAGATAACTGGCACCTGTGCCCCTGAAGCTTCTCAAAACTTAATTCTTTTGTCTATGTTCACATTGGCATAATTCTGCCTTGTTATACTAAAACTAAGCACGGCTTTCAGACGTGATGTTTTGCTTTTCATTGTCATTCTAAGTACTTGCTGCTAGTACATTGGTCTTCACAGAAGTTTTCCCATTAGGAGCAAGTCTTTTAGTATAAGATCTTACACTTGGTTATAAACTTAGTCATAAAGCATAGTATTTGAAGCATCTTAAACTTTATGGTCTTAAGAATTGGCTTCTGTGTGATGAGAATATTTTAGCAAGTGCTGTGACTAGAGAGCAAGAGAGAAGACAAATGAAGCTGCAGGATAAGTTATGTGTTAGATCCATGATGGGATGGGAGAAGAGAGATGGACGTGCTTCATAATGTTCAGTATATTGATTTTTTTTTTCTTTCCCCTCTTTTAGATTTGGTGTGGTGGGCTTACAGTGAGTACTGGATTGCAGGTGCCAAGTGCTGTGAAAACACTCCAGAAAAGTGAAAATGGGTTGAGTGGTTCAACAAGCAGTCTAAACAATATTGCCTAGTAATGTCTATTAGACACTTCTCTTGCTGAATGGTTCTTTTTTCTCTGTAGCTGCTACTCACAAAAGTTTGTGAGAATTGGATTAAACTGAGTTTGCTACTTACTGCTGTTTTAAGGCCTGGGTACTGATAACGCAAATGTTTGGGGCTAAAGTATTATGAACCTACTGTGAATCAAGACAGAAATATCAGAAAACTGAACTGTTGCCTATTTGAAAAATAAGTGGGGAAATCAAGAGCTGTACCTATGTACTTTTCTAATACTGTATTTAAGCATTTATTATGGACTTGAATATTAATTTTGTTATCAGTATTATTTTTCTATGAAGAATATAACAAATACAGTTTTCTTAGCTCTCCTAACATGAATTGACTATATATTTTATTATTATTGGGCTTCCAATTAGAACTTGTGATACAAACATGCATTTCAAAAGCGTATTGATTTGCTAGCCTAGACTGGCAAAATATCACAGCAGTATGATTTCAAAAGAATTTTTTTTTGGTACTGTTGTCTGAGGTTCTTCATTTTGGGTCACCTCTTGGCTTTCCAGCTTTGTGGCATTATTCTGATTGGATTCTGAAAATTGACAATTCACATTGTTCATCAGATGCAAATAACAAATTGAATCATTTTCTGCAGATAGCAAGGCTGCAATGCAGCTGAGGCTGGGAAAAAGAGTGTGAGAGCTTCAGTTTAAATGCGTCCCCCTGGTGAAGATGGGGAGTGGGAGGTGGCTATTGCTAAAACCTCTTTCAGCTTTTTCTCAAGCCAGCTTTAAGGTGGCTAAAGCTTCTCTAACACCTGTGTCAATATCCAAGCTGGCTTTGAGCAGAAGCAGCACTAAATTCCTGGTGATAGGGCAATACCGTCTGAGCCCAGGCACATATTTTTGCTACCTGTTTTGACTAGCCTAGTGAGGATTCCTGGAACTTTCTGATGACCAGAGAAGTCCAAAAATTGCATAATTTCTTTATCCAGCAGAGATGTAGCATATATATATATATATAAAAAATCCCACTCTTAACTTGCTAGCTTGTACCATATACCATGTATATGTGGCTATGAGACTGGTATTTAGAGGATCATATTCTAAAGGATCTCTTTATAGGCTCCATCTTGATGCTTTCCCCTTTTGTAAGGGCAAGGAAAAAGTGGAGAGTAACCAAATGCTTTGCCAGCTAAAATATGATCTGCTCTTGGATCTGCGGTTATGTTTTCATTCAAAAATCAAGTGAAATGTTGAGCCTGGGTGTTCCATCATCTTAGCTCTTAGTTGGAAGCTTAGTAACAATAGACAAATGATTCATATTAGTGGGAGAGATAAAAAAACCATGTTATATTCTTTGTGGAAGATCTCAGCTTTTCAGTGAGAATTACTGTTGTATTATAGACTGTTTAAATCTGCTTTCTTCCCTCTAATGAAGTCCAGGAGCCTAGAAATAATTTTCAAATATACATTTGAATCAACTGTTTGCAGAATGAAGACACCTGAAAGCTGTTTCAGATTCATGCTGACAGGGTCTGTCATGAATTGGCTCCTTTCCTACAGGGACAAAATACATTTTCTTCTGCATATCTTTTAGTCTATAAAAATATCACCATTTAATAATTGTAAATCTTGTTAGTATCAATGGGTCCTTTGTGTCCATCAGGATTTCTCAAGAGGAGGAGAAATTCCTTGAAACAACTTGTAATAAACTGGTGATGATGTTCAGTTGAAAACCTAAATTTTCTTCTTAATACTTGCTCTAGAAAGTGTTTTTTTTCTCTTGAGGAATTGTGAACTTGACAGAATGTTCATTTAATATCTGGAACTTGAGCATCTCAAAATATTTGCATATTAGCTGTAATCAGCTAAGTTAGCTGTAATCTCTATTGCAGAGGAAAGTGCAAAACCATTCCCAGTTTAACTGTACCTTCCTCACCCAGTTTAGTGTTTTGAGTCTGGAAGCAAAGATACTTGGTGACGTGGTTCTTAAATGAACAGCGTCTGAATCTGTTTCACACATTGTCTACAGATGTTGTTATTATCCACATAGTCTTTGTACTAATCTTAAATATTTATTCCTAATTTCTTTCCTTTTTACTGCAATGAACACCTGACTGGCAGTTCTCAGGGCTCAGCTGCTATGAATTCAGTGGTATGTGAGGAAATGAGATGTCCATGCTTGGACCCTGGTGCTGTTTAGAGAGAGGAGAGTTAAGGTGGATGCTGCTTGTTTTGAGACTTGTTCTCTTGAATGAGTGTGGTAAACAGACATCTAAATAGGCTACTGCCTATTCACACTGCCTGGTCATTGGCTTGATCTTGGGTGTTCAGCTGCAATTCCTGTTTAAATTTCCCTTTTTGGAAAGAAAGGGAATGTTTACAGTGAGTTCATGTGTAGTGAGAAAGAACCATGAGTAATCTCCAGGCTTACATAAGAGCATTTAAATTATGAAGTTTTTTTAGCAAGATGTGGTGTAACCTGCAAGGTAAATTTGATATGCACAGTGTAAAAATGTAATTTTTCTTTAACACTTAGAAGAAAGATTGAAGTATTTCATACTGTGACTTGACTTGCAAGTTTTAGTTTACCTGATGTCCTAGATGAACTTAACATGTGACTTTTTACCCTTAAAGGATGAATTTGTTATATAATAGTTTGCACAGATGTCAAATTTTTGCTGCTAACAGCTAGTCCAGTTGTTTTTAGTAAATGGGGATATGAAGAATTGCCTTAAGCACTTTAGATTTTTTTTAGACTTTTATTTTTCTGAGCTAGTGTCTGTCCAGTACCAATATATTGGTGATACTTTGTTGCAGTTGGTGCACTGTTTGTACCTGCAGCTAGGGAGGGATGCATGCAGCCTGTGAAGTTACTTTTTCCTAGAGGAATCCACTTCCGGAATTGGGGAGGTTGTTTTTTGGTAATGGATTTGACCTTTTGAAGGTGTGTAGTTTTCCCAGTAGTTAACATTATGCCTGGTGACTTTAATACTCCCTGAGCCTTTCTGCTCTGGAGTTCATGTAGTTTGGTGACTAGACAGGAGTTTTCTTCTGTATGACCAAAGTTAGATTATTTTTTTTAAAATACTGATTACTGGTAGTCTTTCAGACTTAAAATAACTTCAGAATAATTTATAAGGAACTGAAAGTTTTCTTTGAGTTTATAATACATCAGAAAAGGGTAGCTTTCATTGTTTATGTAGAAAGCTGTATGAACTACAGCAGGGGATGTTAATTTCAGAAAGGATGATTTAACAGCATCCGGGTGATAGGTGCTTCTCCAGATACCAAATAGGGATGGCAGAGGGTGACAAGTTTATTCCTTTAGCCATCTTTTAAGCAGAAAAGGTAGATGCTAATGTTTCCTCCCCCCTCACACTCTCCCATGTTACTGCTGTTTCATACTGAGAAACAGACTGGGGAAACTAAGTGGTTCCCTCAGGAAGAACACCTGACTGAGCGATATTTTAGTCAGATAAGGATCACAGGTTATGAATGTGACTCATAGTTTGATAGACAATTGCCATGAGTTCTGGTGGCCATTCCCCCCACAGCCTCGGACAGTCTGAACACCCCGTTGGAAGGGGAAGCCTGGAGGTGGTTTTCCCCCACCGGG